CAGAAAGTTGAATAGCACATCCCCAACTTAAACAGCTCACGGCCTAGAGTCATCCTCAGTTAAGGCGTCGCGCCCGATTTACCTTTCTCAACAGTCCCAGAAACATTGATGCATTTGGTCTCCAATCCAGCACATCTCACGCTGCTCAGTACGCAGGCGGAACTATTGACAGCAAAGCAGGAGGGACACACCAGCTTGCTCTGAGTGGTGTCCGCAGGTGGTGCTGCAATATAGGTAAAGAGGGGTTAAAAAGGTAAAGGTAAAGGTTCCCCTTGCTCGAAAGCCAGTCGAGTCCGACTCTAGGGTTGCGGTGCTCATCTCCGTTTCCAAGCCGAAGAGCCAGCGCTGTCCGAAGACGTTTCCGTGGTCATGTGGCCGGCATGACTAAACACCAAGGCGCACGGGACGCTGTTCCCTTCCCACCGAAGCGGTACCTATTTATCTACTTGCAATTTCTTGCTTTCGAACTGCTAGGTTGGCAGGAGCTGGAACTAGAGACGGGAGCTCACTCCGTCATGCGGCGCACTCGGGTCTCAAACTGCTGAACGAACGACCTTCCACAGCCTGCAGTTCAGCGTCTTAACCACTTGAGCCACCACAGCTCCTAAATAGGGGTTAGGAATGTACAAACCTTCCCTCAGGCCTAAATCCAGACTGCACACAGAATAAAAGCTGTCTGAGGCCCGTTTTGTTCACCACTTCCTTTCATAGGCACATAATGCCTCACGGGCCCCACCGCCTTCACTGTGTCCTTGGATCCCACCCATCTGAACCAGAAGAGGACCTCACTTACCCTTGATGGAGTGAGAATTGCAGTTGTCCCTGTTGTGGCAACATGTGGTATTGCTCCTCCAGTAAGTGTGTTCGTTCAGGGTGATGGAGATTGTCTTATTGCAAAGTTCAACATTGTCCCCGCAGGTACGGCTCTCTCCGAGACTCCGGATTCCATGTGCTGGATCTTAAAATATATATATATATATCTATATCACACAGTATTTAGGGAACTTAATGGCTGCACATTTCGAAACCTCTCTAGCCAATCCCCTCCTTCTGTAGAAGCGGTTTGTGGAGGAAATGGTCCCACATCAGTGTATTTTTCTGTCTGCAATATGTCAGCTCACTCCAACAGTCCCTATTTGCACCTGCTGTCTGGGAGCATTTTAACTGGAGATGCCAGGGACCAAACCTGAGACTTGGGTAGGATCCAGGTGGGATCTGGGGACATCCCCCCCCCCGAATGACAGCTCATCTTCAGACTATAGAGATCAATTCCTATGGAGAAAATGGGGAGGTGTGTCTCTTTGGCACTGTGCCACACTGAGGTCTCTGTCCTCCCCAGGCTCCATCCTCAAATCTCTAAAAAAGGTAAAGGTTCCCTTGCTCGAAAGCCAGTCGAGTCCGACTCTAGGGTTACGGTGCTCATCTCCGTTTCAAAGCCGAAGAGCCAGCGCTGTCCGAAGACGTTTCCGTGGTCATGTGGCCGGCATGACTAAACACCAAGGCGCACGGAACGCTGTTACCTTCCCACTGAAGTGGTACCTATTTATCTACTTGCAATGTCTTGCTTTCGAACTGCTAGGTTGGCAGAAGCTGGAACTAGAGACGGGAGCTCACTCTGTCATGCGGCACACCCGGGTCTCGAACTGCTGAACGACTGACCTTCCACAGCCTGCAGTCCAGCGTCTTAACCACTTGAGGCACCGCATCAAATCTCTAGGAGGTTCCTAATCTTCACTCCCAATAAATACCATTTCCCCTGAGACAGCTTCATTACTAGCCCGGGAATGGGAAGGCCCTTATGTAGACTTCAGTCGCCACTCGAGCCTGGAAGCGCAGTGAGATCTTTGGGGGAGGGGGGGAGTCCCTTCAGAGACGCATTTACTTACCGAGGATAATATCTTCTGCTGTCGTTACACAGAAGTGTTTGGATTGTTCAGTTGTGCAGTGATGTTCTTGACAGCCTGCCCCAGAAGTGCAATTGCAAGTTAGGGGACCTGTATGGCTGGTACTTTTGGAGGTTGTCTTGCCGTCTGTCGCTGTGCTTGGATGGAAGGTTGAGTGAGAGGCCTCTGGGGATTTCTGGGTATCTGTATCTCCGCTTGGATGGGGGGTTGAGTGGTGGGTTGAGTGGGTGGCCTCCATGGATTTCTTGGCGTCTGTCTTTGCGCTTGTATGGGAGGTTGGGTGGTGGGTTGGGTGGGTGGTCTCCATGGATTTCTCGGCATCTGCTGTTGTGTTTGGTTCGGGGGATGAAAGGGGGGCTTCTGAGGGTGTGTGTTGTAAAGGGGGAATGACAGGAACAAAGAGAACAAAATTGATTGGTTATTTTTGTAGATCGTCTTACCTCTACTCCAAGGCATTCAAAGTGCTACTCTTCCCCCACCCCCACCGCATACAAAGAAAAGACGATACAACACCCTAGGTGTCAAAACTATGGTGTAGGGACCACCATTGTCCTCCAGACCCTTTTATTTATTTATTTAGATCTTTTTAGAAACACAGCTCTCCTATGGAATAGCCTTTTCCTTTGGCCTCCAAGTTCTGACCCTCCCCGAGGCCCCAAGACCAGTGTTCCCTCTAAGCTGAGTCAGGGTGATCTAGCTCACAGTTTTTTAACCTCTGGCTCACACATTTTCGTCTCAGCTTGGGAAGGGATGGCTCCAGGGAAAACTAATCTAGGCAGTAGCCAAATGGTTTGCTCACAACTTTAATGCCAGTCGCTCACAAAGTAGGATTTTTGCTCACAAGACTCCACAGCTTAGAGGGAGCCTTGCTGGCAACCCTAGCTCAGGCCTCTGAAAGACTAACATCTTTTATTTCAATGTGAGCTTTTGTATGTTAGAGCTCACTTCTTCGGATATTTGGATGTTGGTCACTCTTCTTATTATAGGTAGGTAGGTAAGATTATATATGGCTGAAGGCCATTGTGTGTATGTTTGTGTGTGCGTGCGTGCGTGTGTGCATGTGCGTGCGTTTGTGTGTGTGTGTGTGAAGTGCCATCAGGTCACTTCTGACATATGGTGACTCAGTGTCCTCCAAACTGCCCTAAATGTTAACAGCCATTCTCATATCATTACAATATAACAAACAAACAAACAAAAACTTCCCGAGAAGTGATAAATGAAGCGACGATAACAGCAAAATAAAACTGAGAGCAAGATTAGAATTTCCAGGGGCGAAACATAACATGAATTGCCGTGCATTATATGTTAGGCAAACGTCTTGCACAGATTTCCTGGGCAGCGGGTGCATACAAAGATCTCATGTAGGCAACGCTCCCTCGAAGCTGTGGACTCCTGCGAGCAAAAATTCTGCTTGGTGAGTGACTGGCATTAAAGCTCTGAGTGAGCGGTTTGGCTGCTGCATAAATTAGTTTGCTCCAGAGCTGTCCTTCCTGAGCGAAGACAAAAATGGGGGAGCTGGGGGCTAAAAAACTGTGAGCTAGCTCACACTCACTCAGCTTAGAGGGAACACTGCATATAGGTAACATGTTGGAGACCATCTGAAAGAAGATGGATTCTTTTATCCAGGGCTATTTTTGGGCTGTAACGCACAGGAACAGAGTTCCGGCTGGCTCCCAAGTTGGTCACGCCCAGCAGGAACTCATTAGCATAATAGGCCACACCCAGCAGCAGCAACTCATTAGGGTTGACTACAATTAGGGGTGTGTGGCCTAACATGCAAAAAGTCCTGGGTTTTGACAACAAACAAGGTAAGGGGAATAAGAAGCAAAAGGTGGGTGTGGCTGGATGACCACACTTCTGGTAACATGGGGGTGTGGCCTAATAGGCGAATGAGCTGTGCGGTCAGGGTGTGGCCTAATATGCTAATGAGTTCCTGCTGTTGGGTATGGCCTATTATCCTAATGAGTTCCTGCTGGGCTTTTTCTACAAAAAGAGCCCTGCTTTATCTACCACTGAGTGCAAAGCTGGGCTGGCTAAAATGGCTGCAGGAAACTTGGAAAAATGGGAATAAGAACAAAGACAGAAAAACAGGATGTAGTGTGTGGGGGGGTGAGGCCTTGACCTGGATGGCCTAGGCTGGTGCTCTGTCATCAGATCTTGGAAGCTAAGCAGGGTCAGCCCTGGTTAGTATTTGGATGGGAGACCGCCACAGATTGTCTGTGGCTTGATTCCACTTTACATGCACAGTGGGGGAGGTCCTCCAGGTCCAGAGCTCCGGGGCTAGATTATAGATGGAGTTTAACTTACCAGATGTATCTTTCATGGTAACAAGGGTAGCCAAAAGGCAGAGGACAAGGAGCTTGATCATCGTGAGAAGGTCCGGTTTTAAGTCGGGAGGAAAACTCCTGTCAGGCAGTTTTTGCGGCTGCAAGAGTGAAATGATAAGAAGTTGAGAGAGGGAATCAGGGGTCATTTCCTGCAGGAGCGCACAGGAGTGGAGCTCCGGCAGTAAAGAGCCCAGGGGGCAAGCACATGCAACAAGCCCCACCCCCTGCTCCCAGCAGCCCTCAGTCAAAGCAAGAAGCAGCCAGGTAAGTTGCAGAGCCCCCCCCTCCCGGTCCAAAACAGTCCAGTGGCACCTTTAAGACCAAGTTTTATTCAGGTACAAGCTCTCCCTCCTCTGCAAGGGCAGATCTGCACGTTCCCCCCCCCCCAATAGCTAGCAATCCCAAACAGTCCAGTGGAGCCTGAGCGGTGGATGTTGCCTTCTGACACACTTCCGGTGATGTCAGGGGGTGTGGTGTATGCAAATAAGTTATGCTAATGAGCTATGCTAATGAGCTATGCTAATGAGCTCCTGCACCTCTTTTTCTACGAAATGTCCCCTGGAGGGAATCAATAGGGTAAAGGGACACGGCAGAATCCAGGGGTGTTTGTCGGGCAGACAAAGCTCAGACCTGTCCCTCCCTGGCTTTATTTTTTACTTATTTATGTCAGGCTGGAAAACCTCAATATGTTTTCAGGCTGTCATTTCTACTTCCTGCGCTTGAATGCCTGCAGCTGCATTTTTATACTAAGTCAGAGCCTTGGTCTACCAAAGTCAGCCTTCTCTACCCAGATGGCCAGATTCCAGATCCATAGCCAGGAATTTTTCAGGGGGCGCCAAGGCGAACAAAGCTCTGAGCTGTCCCTCCCTGGCTTTGTTTTTTACTTATTTATTTCAGGCTGGAAAACCTTAATATGTTTTCAGGCTGTCATTTCTACTTCCTGCGCTTGAATGCCTGCAGCTGCATTTTTATACTAAGTCAGACCCTTGGTCTACAAAAGTCAGACTTGTCTACCCAGATGGGCATCATCCAGTCCCATAGCCAGGAATTTTTCAGGGGGCGCCAATTAGATCCTCACTTTTATGGTTTTCTTCTCCTCCGGGGCTTGTCGCTGCACCGGGGTGGTGAGGGGATCACCTCCTTTGCCCACAGCATGCAATCCCCACTGGAGCCTCCCCCAGCTCTTGGCCTGGTAGGGCTTGACCCGGGCTCCCTGTGCTGCATGGCACAGCCTCCCTGCCTCCCTCCCTCCCTGCCATGGGAGCACCTGCATGAGGCAAGCAGGGGCTGCCTCATTCTATCTCTCTCCCTCCTTCATTACTTCTGATGAAGTCTCCCAGCAGCACCTGGGGCTTCCTCTTTGAGCAGAGGTGAGCCACCAACTTTTCACAATAAGGCCGGCCCCGAGGAAAGGGCACAGGGTGGCCGGGGGGGGCACCAGGGAAGCAGTGCCAGATATAGGCCAGCGGCAATTGTGTGGGGGCACTGCAGGTTCAATAGGGGTCACTGTCCCATGCACCCACCACTGGCTACAGCCCCGACAGCAGCTCTCCGGGGTCTCAGGCAGATATCTTTCACATCCCCTGCTACCTAATCATTTAGACGGGAGTTGCCAGCAATGCTCCCTCTAAGCTGGGGAGTCTTGTGAGCAAGAATTCTACTTTGTGAGCTAGTGGCGTTACAGTTGTGAGTGAGCAATTTGGCTGCTGCGTAAATTAGTCTGCTCCGGAGCCATTCTTCCTGAGCGAAGACAAGAATCTATGAGCCAGATTCTAACTCAGCTTAGAGGGAACACTGGTTGCCAGGGATTGGACCTGGGCAGGGCTATTTTTGGGCAGGAGCGCACAGGAACGGAATTCCGGCTGGCTCCCAAGTTGGCCACGCCCAGCAGGAACTCATTAGCATAATAGGCCACACCCAACAGCAGGAACGCATTAGGATTGGCTACATTAGGGGTGTGTGGCCTAACATGCAAAGGAGTCCCTGCTCCAAACAAAAAGCCCTGGGTTTTGACAACAAACAAGGTAAACAGAATAAGAAGGGAAAGGTGGGTGTGGCTGGATGACCACACTTCTGGTAACACGGGGGTGTGGCCTAATATGCGAATGAGCTGTGCTGTCAGGGGTGTGGCCTAATATACTAATGAGTCCCTGCTGTTGGGTATAGCCTATTATGCTAATGAGTTCCTGCTGGGCTTTTTCTACAAAAAGAGCCCTGGACCTGGGACCTTTTGCATGCCAAGCAGATGCTCTAGCACTGAGCCACAGCCTCTCCTTATCCTCCTTATTATGCTTGTAGTGCTCCTGTTGTTTTAAAGGTATCTGTGGGTAGCTGTGCCAGCTCCAGGTTGGGAAGTATGTGGAGATTTTGGGGGTGGAGCCTGAGGAGGGTGGGGTTTGGGAGGGGAGGAAGCATAATGCCATAGAGTCCACCTTCCAAAGTGGCCATTTTCTCCAGGGGAACGGATCTCTGTCACCCAGAGATCAGTTAGTACCCAGACCCCTCCTGCAGAAGGGCAGTTTGTACAGGACACCCCTCAGTTAATTATCACCCCCCAAAATCATGTATGAGCTGTGCAACCTGGCCTGGAAATGGGACCAAGATGGAGCTGGAACAAACAAAATGGACGCTGGTAAGAGACAGGCCTGAGAAACTATTTTGGGAAGGTGACTCTGGGTCATGGGTTTGCTAATAGATCTCTCCCCACTCTATATGGAGACACTTAATCTCATCACTGGGCTTCTCGTCACACCTGGTCATGCTTCCTTCCACTTTAATCAGCAGGCTATTCAGATACCCTGACAGCCTCTCCCATCCTGTGCTCAAAGAGTCATCATAGAAAATGATTACATTTAGCCAGGGGTCTTTTTGTAGAAAAAGCCCAGCAGGAACTCATTAGCATAATAGGCCACACCCAACAGCAGGGACTCATTAGCATATTGGATCACACTCTGAGAGCACCGCTCATTAGCACATTAGGCCACACCCCCATGTTACCAGAAGTGTG